GACCTTAATAGGGCTTGGGTGAACCTATGGCAAATGAAAGAGACTGGAACTGTTTCAGAAAGTGCAAGAAGGGTGGGATGAGAGATCCAGGGAGCGGGAGGATTTTGGCGGGGGTGTCGGCAGTGTCTCCTACCCTAATAAACATGTTTCGGTTTAAGTATCCCATCATACTGTGCCCCACACATGCGTACACACCCGTGGGACATGAGGACCTATTCATCTGGAAGCTTATTTGCCTCCTTCAACCAGAAATTCAGCATCAGACCTAACATATAGCAAGAACTTCAGGCCAACTTGAAAAGATGGCTGAGAAACAGAAGCCTCTGGCTTCCCCTGACCTATCCTGTTCTCCATGGCAGGCAAAAGGGACAGGAAACCCACTTCTTTGGTGTCTTGTGGCCCTGTCTATACAGCTGGCTGGCTTGCCTGTGGTCACCTCCCTGGGCCACAGAGGGCTGGAGGATGCTATCTGCAGGGTCCCCTTGTCTCTAGGGAGAGCACAAGAAATCATCCCAGGAAGGAGCCAGGGCCTCCCAGATCCGCTGCCCGCAGGAAGCTCACCTACTGTCTTGTTCAGAAGCCTGGTGTGGTGGCACATGCCGGTCATCCCAGCAAGGGGGAGGCTGAGACAGGAAGATCCCTGCAAGTTCAAGGCCAGCCTGGGCTGCATAGTGAGACCCTGTCTCAAATAAACAAATGGAAACAGCTCATGCAAGCTTGCGTGATAGAGAGGTGAAGGCTGGCAGGGTGCGCTTTAACCTGCGTCCTGCTTGTACCCCCATGCTCTCCATGCCTGCCCAGAAAGCCCTCTGGTGTCTGAGCCCCGGGGGCATTGTCGCCTGGGTCTCAGCCCTTTGTGCCCTTCCTAGTGGGGCCCCACCTCCAGGAGGGACCGGCCTAGGCCACTGCTGAGCATTTACTGCGAGAGATCAGAGATAAGCCTCAGGGCCTGGGACCTGGCTCAGTAGAATAAGTGCTTGCCTGGCAAGCGCAAGGGCCTGAGTTCAATCCCCGGAGCCCAGCTGCACCTGCTCAGCAGCTTGGCTGTAAAATGTGAGCCTCAGCATGCTTCTGACAGGCGAGAACGCGAATACCACGCATAGGACACAGCGCACGTTCTTGGACCGCGTCCTGGTAAAGCGACACTGGCAAACTTCACCTAAGGGAGCCAGAGCCACCCTCACGCTGGGCCCCTCCCTGTGACACCCCATTGGATTACAAAACCAGTCTGCCCAGATGTGTCCTTCCCACTTTAGTGACTCTACTGGGAAGCAGATGTGGGTTCCAGGGACTTTTTTGTTTCTTTGTTTGAGTCAGGGCTTCTCAATTTTTTTTTGGGTGGGGGGGCGGGACCAGGGATTGAACTCAGGCCCTTGAGTTTGCCAGGGAAGACTTAGTCTACTGAGCCATCTCCCCGGCCCCTTCAAGGGCAATTTTTTATTTTTATTTTATTTTATTTTTTTTTTTTTTTGTGGAACCGGGGTTTGAACTCAGGCCCTTGTACTTGTCAGGGAAGCACTTATTCCACTGAGCC